AAGCATGATTGATCATTGCATTTATGCACACAACTTAAGCAGCTGTGAAATTAAAGCTTGAAAAAATTTAGGCTTGAACAGGATATTCGAACCCATGACCTCTGTGATACAGGTGCTGCTCTGCATCGGTATCAAAGAGGTCATGGGTTTGAATCCAGTTCAAGCTTGAATTTTTTTCAGGCTTTAACTTCACAGCTGCTTAAGTTGTGTACATAAATATGATGATCAATCAGACAGACTTGAACTTGGCAGACTCGAACTGCCTTACACCAGCAGCAAATTGCTGGTATAACCTCACGTGGAACCCCTTCTCTCATTTTAACCAGTCCCAGATCTGCAAAGAGTTATGAATAAGCATTGCAGATTGTCAATTATGAGTTTAAATATAAGTATAGGCAATGAAAATTTAGTAGGACTGTTAGTTAAGCTTACATTATTTATATTAGCAATTAGAAAATTAGTGTTAAGAGGTTAGATGTTTTGTGCTTTTGCTAAATTTTTCCTCATGTGGAACTGAACACAATCAAAATCCTTTTCAATCTCTGACAACAAAAAATATTTGTATATAACTCATTGAAATGTGGGCAACGATCAATTCACTCCACAGTAAGAACGCTCCTAAACTGAAGTCTCTCTTACTTGCAGCTGCTACAAGTCTTCTTTGTCAGATTCTTACTCGACCTCTTTGTTTTCAGGATCCAGCACTGCAGGCTCTCCCAGTACTTCATCAGATTCCACAGGATCTGACGCTGTATCTCCTTCAATTCACTCTGCTCTTCTTTCTTTGGGCAAATTAAACAAATTTTCATGTGCGAATTTTGCACCTTTCTGCTGGAGACCAGCTTTCCCTTGCAAAGAGGACAAGGCCACAAAACAGCCGTTATATTGTTCTGTTTGCCTGAATATGATGTCATCATCCTTCTTTAACATTATTGGTTCGTACCCATTGCAACATTTTAGGTGGAAAATCATGGCACCAAAGTTTAGCTTACACTTCAGCTTTCACAGTGCTGATTCACGTTGGTTTTCCCATGTCACCATATGGAGTCCTTAAATTTTACTGCATTGTTTAGCCTTCTTGACAAGGAAAAGCAGCAAATGCTGCTTTCCCAAGTAAATTCACTATCAGCCCAAAAGGAAGTGGGGCAGGACGCATCGGTGGGCGTATCAGTCTGGGCTCCATCTCTTCCATCAGCTGCTGCCGGTGCCGTCCAACAATCCAAAGAAAAACCGGCTGCAATAAAAAGCTTCACCACCGAAGAGTTGTTGGGCACTGGGAAAGTTCGCATGGCTGCCCAGAAATATTTCAAGGAAGGAATTTTGTACATGACATTGTATATTTGAATATCTACTTTGAAAAAGTTGTAGTCTTTTACAAGCTTATCAAACCGAGCGCCGCAAGCTCTTCGTATTGTTTGTTTGTTTGTATTGTTTACTATTGGGCCATAAAACAGGCAGATACGAATAGCAACACAACAGTTTAATCAAGCGGGTAATAGAAGAGCATTACATGGTCGACCATGAGGTCTCCACACTGTGCCATGAAGGCTACTGGGAAATATTGTTATGCAACAGATTACACTACATCTCCCCTCGCATTAGAAATAAGCTATATCCTAAATAATAAATATTCACTCTCAAGTCTGGAGACGATCAGTTCAAATCATAAACTCAAGAATAACTGCAGTAAATGAACAAAGTTAACAAGATGAACACTTAGGTTCACAGTCACAAGTCTCTAAAACGCTCCGGGGTTCTTATTTCACGACCGCATCGGGTGGTTCTCGTAGGGGCCACAGGTGTCGAGGCAGCTGTAGCTGGGACAGTTGGCTCTGGGCACTCAGCAGTCCGAACATCAGGAGAAGACGAGTTAAGGGCTGTGTTGGTATCTGCATTAGGCGTTTCTGGAAGACGATTCAGGTGGCGTCTGTTTCTCCTCAGTTGTCCCTTGGGCGTTTCAACTGTGTAAGAACATGGTTGACCGGCTATGTCCACCACAGTCCCTTCAACTTTTTTGTCTAGTAACCAAACACGCTCTCCAGGAAGGAGGTCTGGGAGGACTTTTGCAGAATGACGCCTGACAGTCTCTCCTCTGTCTTTCTTTCAGTGAAGCATCTTTCTCTCTACACTGCTCAAGGTATGGCCAGGAGGGCTTCAGGTTACTTGGTGAAGTAGGGATTCTGGTGCGGATCTTTCTTCCCATCAGCAGTTCTGCCGAACTTAGGCCGCTTTCAAGGGGTGTAGCACGGTAAGCCATGAGTGCTTTGTAAGGATCTGGGGTTTTCTTGAGTAGATTCTTTACGGTCTGAACCGCCCGTTCAACCTCGCCGTTCGCTTGCGGGTATCGGGGGCTAGTTAGGATGTGAATAAATCCATAGTCCTCGTCAAATTTGGAGAATGAGGTTGATGAAAATTGCGGCCCATTGTCCGAGATGAGTTGCTCAGGAATGCGATGCCTTGCAAACATAGATTGAAGGTGCGGTATCACATCTGGTGAAGTAGTATGTGAAAGTTTCGCCACCTCTACCTAACGAGAAAAATAATCTATGACAAGCAGGTAGGGATGACCTTTTAGTTCAAATAGGTCAGCTGCGACTTTCTGCGAGGGACGATCTGGTAATTCGGACGGGATCACTGGCTCTGCTAGATTTATGCGTTCCTTGATGCAGGTAGGGCATTTCTTGACCACTTCGTCAAGTTGTTGGCTCAGGCCAGGCCACCATACAGATGCTTTGGCTCTCTCACGGCATTTTGTAATACCCTGGTGTGCATCATGTAACCTTTCTAGGACACCTATTCTCATGGACAAGGGGACAACCAGTCGATTTCCCTTCATCACCAGGCCATGTTGTATTGTGAGGTCGCTCCTTTCAGGCCAGTACACTTAAAGTGGACCAGAGAGCTGGGATTTCTCTGGCCAACCTTCAGAACAATAAGTGATGAGTTGTCTTGTAATCTCATCCTGTTGTTGCTGGGACTTGAAGTCTTCCAGTCGATCGCCAGTTGCTGGTAGTACTTAACGATTGAGTCGACATAAGCTGGTACGTCAGCCTCTAACTTCTCTTCGTCTCGGTCAAGGGGTCTAACTAAGGGTGCCCGGGAAAGGGTGTCTGCTGTGTAAAGGGACTTCCCAGGTACATGCGAAATAGAGTAGGTGAATCTCATCATTCGCATTCGGAACCGTTGCACTCTGGCTGGTAGATCCTCAAGGTTCCTGGTACTCAGCAGGGGTACTAAAGGTTTGTGGTCGGTCTCAACATGGAATTCCAGGCCAAGTAGGTAATCTGCGAAGTGCTCACTTGCCCAGGTGATCCCCAAGGGCGTAACGCTGTTCTGTGGGGCTCATGGCTCGCGAGGCGGATGTGATGGGGTGCCACTCGCCATCATCCTGCAGTTGCATTAAGACCGCTCCAAGTCCATACGACGATGCATCAGAAGAAAGTTTCGTTTGACGACTTGCATCATAGTGGGCTAGGGTTGGGGTGGAGGCCAGACTTTCCTTTAGGGCTGCAAATGCTTGCTGTTGGGCATCACCCCATAACCAGTGACTTTTCGAACTCAGTAGGTCTCTTAGTGGTTTGGATAGTTCTGCAATTTGTGGCTGGAACTTGGTTAGTTGATTTACCATGCCGAGAAATCTTCTTAATTCTGTCTGGTCTTGAGGCGTTTTCATCTTCAAAATGGCTTCGACTTTCTTGGGGCTAACATGCACTCCTTCAGCGTCGACGAGTGTCCCCAGAAATTCAACGGATGGTTTTGAGAATTCACATTTCTCTTCATTTAGAGTAAGGTGAGCCTCCTGTAACTTGTGAAGAGTTGCTTCTAAATGCTGATTGTGTTCTTCCACTGATTTGCCATACACGAGGATATCATCCATCTGACAAAGAGCACCACCAGTTCCTTCAAGAACTTGCGAGATTCGCTTCTGGAAGTGTCCAGGGGCTGAACTGATCCCAAATGGTAGGCGGTTAAAACAAAACCTGCCAAATGGCGTGATGAAAGTGGTAAGTTTAGCTGACTCTGGTGATAAGCCGATTTGCCAGAATCCTGAATTGGCATCAAGCTTACTGAAAATAGTCGCTCCAGCGAGTTGAGCTAAGGTGTGGTCGACGCTGGGAAGGGGATGATACTCCCTCAGGATGCTTTCATTAAGCTTGGTTAGATCCACGCATATTTGAACTTTGCCATTGGCTTTTGGGACCACTACTATCCTGGCACACCATTCAGTTGGTTCATCCACTTCAGAAATAATTTTGCATTTGTTCCATCCGGGAGAGTTCTTCTTTGACTTTTGAAAGAAGGGGAACAGGTACTCTCCTGGGGGTACCAATTACGTGTGGCTTCGCGTCAGGTTTGAGCTTGATGAGGTAATCGGGACCATCAAGTTTTCCAAGACCTTTAAAGAGATTTGGGAATTTTTCTTTAACTTCTTCTGCTTCCACTGCATTGACCTTTTCGACAATTTTTAGCGTCTCTATAGCTGGACGGCCAAAGAAAGCTAGGCGCGCTCCAGTCACCACAAATATTTCCTGCGATGAAGATTCTTCTCCTCTCTTGATGACTCCCATAAAGCAGCCAAGAACGGGAAGGGTTGTGTGGGCTGGGCCAAACAGGGTCTTGCTGGATTGAATGAGGGCCGGAGTTGGTTTCAGCTTTTTGTAAACGCTCTCGGGGATGACAGTGACGTCAGCTCCGGTATCAATTTTAAAGCGGACAAGAGAGCATTTAGAGTGAGGTCTACAGACCAAATGCCTTCGTTTCTCTTTGTCCTGATTTCTCCGAGAAAGGCATAATCTTCTTTGATTTCGCTGACAGTATGCGCAGACCTGCAAACAGATGCCCCACCTTTTTTCGAGCACTTGTGACAAGTCGTGGCGCTGGCCGGGCAGTTTTGTCGCGCGTGGCCCGGCGATTTCCCACAGCGGTCGCAGCGGTTCGACGGTGGACGGGTTGCCGGTTTCTTGAGAGTTTCGCTCGGACTTCTAGACGAGTCGTCTTTTCTAAATTTCGGCGTTTCCTCTGCTTTCACCGCATCGACTTCATTCTTTGCTCCCGTAGATTCCTTGAAGTCATTTCGCATTAGTGTTTGTTGCTTTTTGACGGCTTCGCTCTGTCGCGCGTGATTGATTGCTTTTGGCAGCGTTAAATCAGGGTCGAGCTGAAGTTTCTCCAACAATTTCGCATCTAGAAGGCCTACCACAATTCTGTCTCGGATGATCTCCTCTGTCAGGGTACCAAAATTACAGTGTTCGGCGAGCGTATGCAATGCTGTGATGAATGTGTCAACTGTCTCGCCTTCTTCTTGGCGGCGTTGATTGAACTTTGCCTGCTCGAAAATAACATTACGGCGAACCACGAAGTGCTCATCAAACTTCGTTTTAACGGTGTGGTACTGCTTCAGTTGTGTAGCACTCAGCTGGAAGGAGTTTAGAATATCGTCGGCTTGATCTCCCATAGCGTAGACCAGCGTGTTTATTTGACTTTCTTCTTCTTCTTCTTTCACCAGACCAGATGCTTGGCGAAAGCGTTCGAATCTTCTGCTCCATTTTGGCCACTCTTCCTGACGACTAAAGTCAAACTTTTCTGGTAGCTGCACTCGAAAAGACGTCATGGTTCGTTGAAAACCACTTCTGACACTATGTGGTATTATTGGGCCATAAAACAGGCGGATACGAACAGCAACACGACAGTTTAATCAAGCGGGTAATAGAAGAGCATTACATGGTCGACCACGAGGTCTCCACACCGTGCCGCGAAGGCTACTGGGAAATATTGTTACGCAACAGATTACACTACAATAAATTGTTGAATACATTACATGCTTCATGAATTACTGCCTCAAGGAGGCGCCTTGGATGCTTTCGTGCAAAAATGTCGATTGTTTTACGAACGTCTATTTGCCTGTTGTAATGAATGTGCATTAGGGCAAGTCCAGACTCAAGTGAGTTTTTAGTCAGTCGTTTCACGCAATTTCCCCAAATTGAATTGCACACAGCCGTGCATTTGACAGAGCTTCTAATGTTCTTACTATAGATGGGAAAAGCGCAAGGAAAACTTCATGTCCTTTTACCTTTCAACCCACTAAGTTCGACACAAGTTGAGCACATTTGTTTAGCTGACCTCGGGTATTTCTTTCTCAATTACGGTTAGCAAAAGCTAGTTACGCTTCGGTGAATACTTAAAAAAATTCTAAACTTCATTGAATGTTCCAAAAGCATGTTTCTTATAAGGGGTTGATCACAGGGGTGAACGATTGCGAAGTTTAGACAGTGAGCCCTGCCGTGTGTGTACACAGCTTTTGGACTTTTTTCCCGTATCAGTGCTTGTGCGCCTCGCCAAGTAGAACATGTTAGATGCACCATTGTAACCTTACCCCCAACAGTTTTTTTCTTTCTAAGTTATAACCCTAAGGGAGGGTTCCGGAACCCCTGGAACCCTCCCCTGGCTACGCCCCTGTAATAATCTTCCGTGGTCCAGAGATCAGCCAACTTTCATCAAGAGTTTCATTTGGAATTTCCGGAAACTTTCGCTAGTATTCGAGTCATTCAGTTTCGTTCACGGCACCTTCGGCGTGTCAGCCTTCAGTTAGGAAAGCACTCAGTTCTGATATTCGTTGTAGATCACTGGGAAGTACTATTTTAAATCATTCCAGTTAAGTTTAAAAGTCATTTCAGGTCATTCTAGAAATCAGTCAAGTGTATTTTAGATCATTAAATCACTTTAGGTCATTTTAGATGATTTTAGATTTATTTTAGATATATTCTAGATCATTTTGGGTCGTTTTAGGTCATTCCTTCTTTTAGTAACTACGGCAGTATGTATTTAGGGGACCTGGGTGGGGGGCCAGACTTTTCCACTGAAATTCAGAGAATTGGGTCAGTGTACCGTTATTTAAATGGACTTTTCTTTTCTTCCACTAGTTTAAGTTTACAATTTTTTTGGAAGTGGGTAAGCTAATGCAGTAAAAGTTGAAATCTTTCAGTTGGGTGTGAGAGTTTGGTCCATAGGCATGTCAGTAGATGTGAAATTAAGGTTTTTCACCTGGTGTGAGACTCGTACCCTGTAGGCCGGCATGAGAAGATTGGTGAGTACAATCATTAACTAAGACCCTGACTGGAACAAATTTATTTATTCCACATAAAGTGACAACAACTCTAGATGTAAGAACTCAATTCAAGTCCATGACAAACACAATTTTGGAGGTATAATACTAGCATTTACGTTGTCACTCCAAGACTGAGGGACATAAATGTAAAAGGATTAAAGCTTAGAATGGTTAAGAAGAGCAGGTACACCCCAACACCTCATTCGACTAACACCTCCATCTGGATAAATGGTTAATCTCACGTGAGACACTATACCACAGTCCTTAAGTTTTAAGAACAGGTGACGCTTGTCTGGTGACAACTAAAAGGCAATAACAATATTGGAAGCAATTAACACACAAATAACAATTAACTAAAGTTAAATTTTAAAATTTACATGCATATAGAACCATGAAGCAGAGATACTAGCGATGATTAAAATGACTTAACACTTTCAAATTACTGTAAATAATCAGAACCTTCCAAGTATGATACACAATAATATTACATTACCAAAAGCATTGCTATAAAGTACCTTTGCTTTGGGTACAAGCATTTCCCATGAAAGTAAACTCCAGTCTTCAGTAGAACCATTCATTTTGCTTTTGTTTGGCATAAGGCACCCTTTAGTTCAACAAAAATAAAAAATGAAGTAATAAAATGAATGATTGTATAGGGGAGGGGAGGGGAGTGGCAGTTAAATGCACATAACATCATACTGTGAGACTAGTGTGCACCGGAATAAAACAGTACCGGGAATAATTTTTCTTCTTTGACAGGACATGTGTCCTTTCAAATCTTCATTTTGGTCGGACATCTATCAATTTGACCGGACATTAATTTGCATAATTGATTTGCATAATAAAATTCATTAGCATACTGTAAAGATTTTCAATACAAATCATTCAAAACTGCATTTAAATTTGATTTATTTATCATTTATGATGATTAGATGACTTTATCTACAA